CGGCCCTCTAAGCCACAGCTCTTGGCGCATCAGGGATAGATTAAAGATCAGATCAGGTCAGATCAGATTTATTAAGGGAAAGGTAGGCGAGCGCCTTTGAACTCCCTTTTGGTTTCAATGACGTCATTAAAAACAGTGTGTAAGACAAATGTCAAGGAAAATTAGGTAAGTAATTACATATAACAAGCATTGGCTACCGGTATAAATTTGTCTGTGAATGCCTTCTATATCAAAATTGTACAATAACCGGTGCGCTGTACTGAATGTACCAAGTAATATCGGAGCAAGCGTGTATACTTCGGTCAGGATATAAAGAAAAGTCTAAGATCAATGCTACTTAAATATAGGGAGTAGCATGCTTTGTAACGTAAACATTCAGGAGACGGGTGGTATGGGGGGGGGGAATTTGTTAGTTTCTGATGCCGTGGAGGTGCATAGCCCTGTACTGGTCAAGCTTCCTCTTAAATGTGTCCACGGACGAGTATATGGCGACGTACACGGGCAGGGCATTCCACGCCTATACCACTCTGTGGCTGAAGAAGGACCTCCTTGCGTCCAGTCTCGCCCCTGTCCCACTTAGTTTCAGGGGATGTCCTCTCAGGCGCATTAGATGATTTATAGTGGAGAACATACCCTAAGTGTCGTGGGGACACAGTTCCCAGAGTCGCCCTGCTCTCTTTTCCCTCCCCTAGGCATCAGCACTCTGTCCGTGCCGATCAGGTGTCGGATGTTGAGATTAGGCGCGCTTGATGGCAGAGTTGGGCAATCCATCTGCGCGTGCCACATGCACACGACCTGATTCCCTGTGCATCACACAAGGATTTCAGACGAAAGGCCTGGGCGACTCAGATCTCACATAAGTGAGACTGGCACAGAGGTGTGGTAAAGGAGGGGCCACTCAGCCTCACTCGCAGTCCACTAGTCAGCCAGTCCACATAAACCCACACTGGTCTGACTGCGAGGCATGGACTCCACCATCAGTTGGCAATCTCCCAATCCACCATGTTTAGCGCGTCGTGATAGTTTCAAACGTGCCAGATCTATTATTGGTGAGGAATGCACTGAAGTGTCGCTGTGATAGATTCTCCAGAGTCGACCTCATTTTATCTCCCCCCCCCCCCTCCAGTGCAACCAGTCTTAGCTGTCAAGTAAGAGTCAGGTAGGGCTTCCGAATCATCTACAGCACGCTGGTGAGACACTCAAAATTCCTATGACACTGGATACTCGAGTAGTGACACGAAGAATTTCGTTTAAGTGTGTTAAAAATGCCCAAGAATGATGAACACAACATCAACCCTTCGCGGCTCATTTGTTCCTTCTCATTTGAATGACGTCAGTAGCACCAGCATATTGATTCTACCAGTCAGGGGGTGGACCAGTGTACAATCCCCACTGATTACCCCCTCTTGATTAACTGCGCCTTTGAGTTCAATTCTGTGCAGTAGACGCTACGTAAGTCTGCTATCATGCGCAAGTCACCGTTCCCTCGTCCATCCTACTGAGGTGCACGCACTGGACATCGTCGGCAACTACGGTCAAACTGCCCTTTGACTGGATGGGTCTTGATACAGGTATGCACGTCCAGGGTCTTCATTTGTTACAGACTTAAATTCATCCAACTGTTACCATTTCATCGGCGTTCAGCCATATCCAGTAGTTCAGTCTTGAACTAATCCGACGCTGCCCTACCTTGCTGTCAACGGCGGAGTGGCGGTTGAAGCCGCATCTGGTAGATGGCAAGGAGGTGATTCGTCCAGCAGCCTGCATCAAGCATCGTCTTGCTCACTAGCTGGTCACGCCTCAAAACAAGGACATAGTCCAGCAGTTGCCAATGATGCGTGCGAGGAAGCATCCAAGTCGCGTTCTCTCCAACCGGAAGGCGGAGGGAGTGTTCGTTAGGTGAAGACTGTGTTCCGTGTAGGTCTGCGGGAAGAGAAGGTCACTGGCGATGCAAACGTCGATCCCGTGACGACCGAGCGACTCTCCCAGATAGCCTGGTCTCTACGGGAACGGGGATTGCAGTCACCAAGGGAAAGTGATTTGTCTATCTTTGGCACGGTTGCTTGGACATCGAATTTGTACTTCCCGTCATCGGACTTTGTCATAGGGCGAGGGACGTAGGCGCTGACAACAGTAACAATTTTTTTCCGCGGAGTTGTAGCCTCGTTGACACAAGACTATTAGTATTTTCTAAACTAGTCCTGCTTTGCTATCCACACTGCCAGAACTTATCAGCTAACACGGATACTACTTTTAACTCTCATCGGCAACACGTCAAGCCAATAGTTTAACTGTACGAACCCTGGCCGAAATCGCGTCATGACATGCGGGTTTACTAGCCGGTCGATAATCTGCATTGACACTTCTGACCACTCAGCCGTGTAGGCTAACGGGCTGTGCTCTGACTGCGTGCAGTGAAATCTCGTTTTGCCTTGCGGTAGATCACTTGGGAGGAACAAACTCGTGACTACTTTGTTAGTGGACTCTCGTGCCGACTCTCCTTCTCCCGCCCCAACACGCCAGTCTTATACACCCGCAACAGTGTCTCCTAAGTTTTTCCCACAATCCCGCGTATTTTCCAACCACCCACCCCCCTCCCTCAACTCCATTCCCTACCCGCAGTGGTCGCCGTGTCTATTTCTCCGATCGTTACCAATTTGCAAATTTCGCCTAATATTTTTACGTTCACTTCTATTTTCTGCTTTCTAAATTCGTTCTTCTAGGATGGGGCGTACTGTAGTTACGCAAACATCTCGCCTTAGTATGCTAACACGCGACTGTTAACGATGCACACAACCTCGGTGAAGAGTTCTACAGCCGATCACCGCCAAATGAGTAATGCGCATGCTGGCCCCAGCGCGGGTATCTACGACCACGTTCCACGATCCGGTCTTCGCCGACGACTGCACGCTCAACACCGCGACCTAAGTGGGCATGCAACGGAGGATGGACCTCCTCACTGCCGGGTGCGCCAACTTCGGCCTGACTATCAACAGGGACAAAACGGTGGTCATGCACCGACTACGACCCAACACACAACACTACACTTTTCCTCGAATCACTCTCAACGGCCACCAACTTGAAACCGAGAACTATGTTGCTTATCTCGGAAGCACACTTTCCAACAGCACCAGAATAGGCGATGAGGTTACCCACCGAATCTTCAAAGCCAGCCAAGCCTTTGGCCGGCTGCAGAACTCCGTGTGGAATCGTCACAGTCTCCAATTGAATACCAAAGTAACGATGTGCAGGGCTATCGTCCCGACGACACTTCTCTATGGAGCGGAGACTTTGACCGTCTATTCCAACAATACCAAAAAACTCAACCACTTCCATCTCAGCTGCCTTCGCAGAATACTAAGCTGAGATGACAAGACAGGATCCCCGACACGGAAGTCCTAGAATGGACCGGCATCTTTAGCATCCACGCCATGTTGAGGCAACTGCAGCTACGTTGAAGCGGCCATCTTGTGAGGATGGAAGACACACGACTACCAAAACAACTCCTCTATGGTGATGTCACCACCGGTGCTTGCCGACCGGGAGGCCCAAAACGATGCTACAAGGACACATTGAACAATCCTCTTAAGCGACTTCATATTAATCCAGAGACCCGGAGGGACCTCGCCCAGAACAGACCGGCCTAGAGAAGAGAAATGAATACCGGAGAAGCAAATCAGTCAGTCAGTCAGTGTATTTGAGGGAAATAGGCTTACGCCTTTGAACTCCCTATTTGGGAGATGGCACCCAAAAAAATCTGCCCAACCAAAACAGCCTGTCTAAAATAGTTTATGTCGCAAAAGCACCATAGCGGTCGGTCCCCAGCTGTGTATCCGGACGTCAATGTTAATAATAGTAGGGTTGGTCCGCAGATATTGTTTCGCAACTATCCTAAACTATGCAGGTTTAGATGTGGACGCTAACATATCATAAGGTATGTTGTCGTAGATTAAGCCGGATACCGACAAATGCGGCTGCACCTCACCTCAGGAAACAATGGTCAAGAATGATAGTGCTAATGGAGGTTAGATTTAGCCGCAACCCCACTACTGCTGCCACTCGTCAGCCGTAAAAGCCTAGGTCAAGGTTGATTAACCATGGCTGGGTCTACAGCGATCGTATCTCAACTGTTGGAGACTATGATGATCTAAGTGGGGCAGCATGTGGACTGAAAGTCAGATGGAAGTGACGTCGGATGAAACAACAAATATGTAGGGCTATAACCTATTCAACTAGATATAGTAGATATTATTTCTAGGCAACGGACATTTGGGTGCCATCTCCCGATTGTTACCTCTCATCGCTAAAAAGTCACATAGTCGTTGATAGAAGCGAACAGGCGTGGGTTGGAGTGGCACACAGACCGGAGGTCACCATGAGGCGTCAGGTGATGAGACCAAAAGACCCACTGCCACGGCAAGAAACAGCTGGAGTCGTTTACCGGATCTGGTGCAGTTGCGGACAAAGCAACTACATCGGAGAAACTGGAAGACTGCTCCGAACGCGCATTACTGAACACGCGGCAGCAGTACGGAGAAATGACGCCAACTCTCAAGTCGCGGCCCATTCGACGAGACCCGGCCACACATTCAAGTTCGATGAGGCCGAAATTCTCGCGAGAGGGGATAATCGCGTGAGCCGCGAGCTGCTTGAGTCATGCTTCACGGGACCTCAGTCTATCAACAAGTGCAACGACATCCCCACTCCATATTCCGTGCTGAGGCATAGGTTGGCCAAGGTAATTGACCACTCGGGGAGCGCGCAAGCCGGTGAGCCAGATGACCGAGCAATCATCACGCCAGCATCTAACACGGGTGATGACATTTCGGCGATTAACAATCATGCCGGCCATCAAGCAATTATCGCGCCAGCGGGCAGCCACCCTTGGCGAAGGGGAGCGCGGTTAATTGCTATAGGTATGCGGTAGCATAGCGACTGCATCCTATAAATACTGCGATTTCCTGTGCACGAGTCACCTTTTTCTGCCACCGTCTCTGATGATGGATTCAAGTGAGAATCCGAAACGTCAGGCGAATAAAGCCCTTGTTCCAGCGATCGCTTCTTCTGCTGATCAGGCTTCGTCTTCTGAAGTAAATCGTATCGCCGCCAAAGCCAAACGCGAGGCTTGCAGATCACAACTGCTTCGTCTCCTTAGTGCCTACCACCCGACGCTTTCAACATGCCCGATCTGCCAACGCGCATTCCGCGCACGAATCGGTCTCGCTGGACACCTTCGGACCCAATGCGCCATCAACCCGGCAAAGTCTACCCCTTCTACCACTCTTGCTCCTGGCATAAACCCCGCGCCGACCACCACCCGCGTCACCGCCGATCATACTGTCGCTGCCCCGCCACCACCATCCGCCCTGCCTCAGCCCCTACATAGACCGCAGCGTCCAGTATCACTACCACCTCGTCTTAACGCACTCCCCCCACCGATGAGACGACGTCCGACGTCCTATCAACTTCAAACATCACCAACATCCCCACCTCCAGGGATGTGGATTCGGTTCATACCTGTCCTCATTGCGTTCGCACCTTCACCTCACACAGTGGCCTGGCCGGTCACTTGTGAATCCATCGCACAGAGACTGGCGAACCAGTGTCTGGAGCATCAACCTACACCCGCCGCATTCGGCTCAACTGTCCACAGTTCACTCGCACATTCATGCATCTCATGGACCTCTTCGGACATATGCACGTCCACGAAAACCTGCGGTAAACAGCCGCAGGATGCATCGCACCATCACAACCTCCCCAACCATCATCTCACCGCACATCAATCTCACCCACCTCAAACACCCAACCGCCATCTCCCACGCAAGTGGGAAGCATGCGTCTCGGTTCTTTCTCTATGGGACCCCCCAGCTTCATGTGTGATCGGAGTCCAAGACTGCCACGGTTCGTCGAGCGCCGTGGCTCGGAAGGAAGCCGACTGACGCCCCAAATCGGTTCACGCAGTCCGTCCAGCTGTGTGCGTGTTTGTGTGGGATGGTGGACTGGTGGGCTGAGAGCCAGGCTGAAGCTGCTCCTTCTCCAGTGACCTGACACTCTCGTGTATGCGAGGAGAGTGTGTGTCCACTGTGGGTAGTGCCTCTCCGTCGACGACTCAGTCGAAGAGTGTTTGGTTACATAATCTTGAAGGGTGACGACCCAGGCTATATAAAGGGCCAGGTGTCACCCTTCTAGGTCAAAAGGTCTCTAAGCGTGTGTTATGCCAGTATCAGCAAACCATGGCTCTCGCAGCCTGGTATGCACTGGTAGTTCCCTGACACCTGGTTCCCTGCCGGTGGATGCACTCGCGCCCCCGCTGGGTATACAGCTAGTGGGCACGGCCGCCCAGTCATGCTCCTCCCTCTGAGCCTTCGCGGTGTGTTGTTGTAGATTAGAATCCTGGTCAAGTGTATTTTGTGGAGCAGAGGTGTGGAGTGGACCGCCAAGGTGCGGGCTCGACCGCGCCATCCACCTGCGTCTTCCCCCGCCTCCGGTCGTCTTGACTCTGTCTTGATAGAGTTCCAGGTAATGGTCCCAGGCCCAGAAACCGCGGCAGCTGATGTTTGAAAGGGGAGGGGGGGAACAAGTACTGAAGGATGACAGCGATATTTACGGAACGAGGATGGGTTACGGTAGATCCGATTAGGCGTCCGAGAAATGCTAGTTCGGAAGCATCAAATATCATCGTAATAAACCTGCGAGCGAAACACAATAGGTAAAAATTCGCTCAATTAGTCGGCTGTTTGTACCCCAGTCTATCAAATCCTGCAAATGGATCTATGCCGCATAGGACCGCGTAAGTTCAGAACATGTGTTATTTCTCTGCAGACTGCAAATATCAATGCACTTTTAGCGAAGTCATTGAACTTACAAAAGGCGTAACAGTCTGCCTTCCTGCTACCACAAAGGCGCTGTCCCCAAGTTCCTCCCCAACGGTCGCTTACGGTTCTTCTCATAAAAGTAGACTCACTATCACACAAATCTAGCGGCCTTATGCTCGGCCTGAAACCCGATAATCTTCATCCCTACGAATGAAGTGTGCATTTGGTCATTTTTAATTTCTCTTAGTCGAATACCAAATGCTCTCATAGGTTTTCAGGAATTTCAAAATCGAAATTTGAGGAAACACCTCCTGCCGCTCTTTTAATATGACAACTTAATGAAAAGAAACATCAGAAAATGATATTTGATAGGGGTCCCACTTGAGATGGAAAAGAGATTTTCGAGGAGGGACTATCCAAGAGACTTACTGCAACCCTGGCAGGGCAGTCAACATTCCAAAACATCTCAGCTCTGTGTGTGCAAATAAAACCAGGTAACGTCCATCTGGCGTGCAGTTAGTACATCCGGGTCCTTTCCAGGCTCATATCAACTGCTTCATGACCTCACAGGAGATACATTATTATGTCTCCCAATCCCTCCTTCCTGAAGGGCTGACAGGCCAAACGGCAGTTCCCCTACTTGGGTCTCTTCGCCGTGCAGGCGTATTACGCGCGTGTCAACTTTTTTGTTTAGCCCATTTACAGTGAATTTCCCCCGTGGAAGTCGGGTCTATTCATCATCTACCGGAAAATGTCACCACTGCTTCTCCTCTTAGGTCCAATAATCAAAAGAGATAAAAGTACTAGGCAGCAAGGAAAAGGTAGATACGCCAAAAAGTGGGCTCTGCATCCCATTTATCTTCTGTTATATTCAGTATTATACGTCCTCCGAAGTAACTTTGGCATTGAGGTTGTCCACAAGACACGCCAAATTAAAAATAAAGCTTATGCATCTATAGGAATGGAAAGACATCCTCCTTTGTGTTTTACCTACGCACACAGATTCACAAGACAGTGTTTTCCGATCGTGTAATTACAATGCTGAAAGTAAGTCAATCCCCTTACCCAAATCTTCCACAGTATTCGCTCACTGTTTCTACAATTTTTTTTTCTGTGAGGTGGTTAAATCGATGGTCTCTGGAGATCTTCGTATATCACGGGACAACAAGTCTAGTATTCACTAGAATCTCTTTAACTGATTTCGACGGTTTTGATTCCACCAGTTTCGTGGATCTGTTACTGCAGACGCAGAGGCCTATTAATCCTCATGAATTAAAATTTTCCACCACTGAAGACCCCTACACACCGAGAAGGAAGAGGAGGTCTATGAAGAAGCTGTATTGCCTGACTGGCACCTCGGGTAGCTAGATTAGCTGACGGATGCCAGGGTATTCAGTGTCAGAAAATGGAAAACAATTTTAAGTGACTCTTCGACCTGATTGCTTTTTTTCCTGATCGATTGCCCGCTCATTGTCTTCAGATGGTTGTGATAGGCATCACGAGAATTGAGTATGTCGTCAGGTCGGTTGAGCGTAGCTGAAGTTGTGGGATTTTTGTTAAGACCTAGGGTTACTCGGCCACCTTAGGGGACAAACTGCTTTTCAGTTCGCCTTCGGTCAACTTTGTCACTGCTCTCGCTAAGCTATCTCAGGCGTTCTATCCTGGTCTCTTTGTGAATGATATCCCAAGACATGGCAAGCCGAAGGGAGAGAATCACTGGGTCGGTTGATCAAGTTGACATTTGAAGTGGCAGTTAGTTCTTCGGTAGCTAGCATGGGACTGAACAGCAGCTGTGTTCAGCGAACCAAACGAACTCCATTTGATTGCCTGGGAGATCGCTTTGATGCTGGGGTGGTCTTACAGAATTCTGATCGGGCAACGGTGGGTTGTGTAACCCCACTTCGTAACCAGGAAGCCCAGGCTCGTGTAATACGGGAATGGTGGCAATAGGGGTTTTACGGGTGGGACATCACTGCGGAGGGGGAGCAAAATTCATGTAGCAAAACTTAAAAAATAGGTAGATTTCCACTTAAATTCTTCGCCTACGCCCATGTATAGTAATGGGAGTGAGCGGGTTAATTAGAGAATAAACAAGCAGCAACTACCAATAAATAAAAGGTAATTGAATAATCCGCCACTTGCCAATTCGTGACAGCTCAGGAACAAATGGAACAAGCAATTAATAGGAGAGAAGAACGGTGAGTGTCAAATATTGCAACTGTGAAAATTTACTGCGAGGTGGCATGATACATATAAGTATTAGAGAAGCTATGGAAATGTACCCTAATGAATTAGGGAAAAGTCAAATAACGTAATTATGAAGGCCTGTTTGTATCTCCATAATAAGTCAACTGACTACTGTAAAATCAATAATAACAAGTGTTTATACGTAAAGTATATGCACGATAATGAAATGCATTTATGAACAGAGTAGGTGATAATGTTTGTTTTTTCCTTGTAAAATACAGACCATCTTCTCCAGTT